CAAAATCCAATTCAATAATCCGTAAGTTTATTAAACACAGTGTGAATGTAATATTCTGCCACCACCCTTCCCATTTAATAGCTCAATTTAGTTCTTGAGCTTATGGTGTGATTAACAGAAAATACAAGTCTGTGTTGTTAAACATTCCTCGTGTGCCGTTCACCACAGGGGGGAGGGGAATTCTGTTGATGAGCAATAAACTACCTTATTCTCAATCAAAACCACTATGCAAATGTAGTGGTAAAACTGCTCAACCGACCGAGAGCAGAGATATTAATTAATTTAATTAATTCTAAGAACGGAATCTGCTGAAGAGTAATAACCACATTATTCTCAATCAACAACCACTATGCTAATTTAGTGGTGCTCTGCCCTCCCCGATCCGGAGAGCAGAGACTTTTAATGAATTCAGTACCCTTTATTTTAACAACAGCCAAATTCAACAACCCCTCAGTTTATGAAACACAGCGTGACGTAATATTTCGTATCACGTTTCCCATTAATAATAGTTCTGTTTAGTTCCAAAACTCATAATGGTGCGATTTAAGAAGATACGACACTGTGCTTTGTTTATCCTCGTGTGCTGCTCTCCACAGGGGGGGGGGGGGATGGGAATTACCCACACCCTGCACCCTGCAGCAGCAACAGGAAGATTTCGAGGCGAGTTGATTTAACTAGTTAAACCGTTGAAATCTCCAGAATTCGGCGATTCGTTTCAGTACAAATCTTTACATTGCTTTTAAACCGAAGTTCCACATTACTGATGCCCTCTTTAAGGTCTCTCCGAATATTTGCCGTGCACACACACAGAGGAAACCAAAAATATTGCATCTATCTGTTCCACAGGTAATTTTATACCGTCAATCACAGAGTCTGGCGAGGCAATGTCAAAATATAGATTTTAAATTACACTCACCAGCTCGACGATTTGTTGGTAACTGTTCGCGACGCCAATTGTGAAGTAAAAACTTCTTTGCAGCAATGTTGAGCCAATCATGAAATGAGTGAAACTGGATTCGCCTGTCAATACACTGATATTTATTGAGAGCCTGAGCGGCCGGAGAGTTCACAGCATATCACAGTTCCCTGCAAGATCCCAGCAAACTCTGCCCAAAAGCGCCAAGCACCCCTCTATACAAAGAGAAGAGGAGGGCCCTAAAACACGCGGGTTTTCCTTTAATGCATGCCAGATGTCGAGACAAAGACTCGTTGCATTGTAAACCCACATGAGCCAAGCTTCTCCCCCACAAGACATCAGATGACCTCTTGACCTGTGTCTTCCTGAGAAGCTATGGATCACATTACAGGCAGGAATACACTTCAACCATATTAAACAGATTCCCGAGGACAAATCACTAAACTCTATATACTTTAACAAGACCAAAATATTCCTTTACAGTGTGGGGTGGGGGTGGGGGGAGGGAGGCTCCGTTGTAGCTTTAGCCGTTGATATGATAGCAGGGTGGCTAACAACATGGCGGATATTTGTTCCCTCGGATCTCGGTTCTCTTCCTCTCGTCACTGCCTCATGCGTGTCTGTCTGCCGAGGCGTCCCCGGGGGAATCTCGAAGTCTCCGTTTATTCCTCGGTCTCCGCTGTCTCCACGGTCTCTGTTGTCGTCGCGTAGTTGTTGTTGCAGCGGAAGAGATGCTAGTTCTGATGCTAATTGTGATGCTAGCTCCTCGAGCCTGCAGGACTGGCTTCTTGTCTGCACCGGGCCCGGATTCAGATGGATGTCTCCCGCTAACAATAAGACCAAGACGATCATACTTCTTCGGTCTAGTTTGCCTGACGGGGGTAAGTACTTTCGCGTCGGGTTTGCAGTTAATAATGAATGAATGCTTGCACTTCCAAAAGCGAGGTGTTTCCTTTCCCAGACGTTGAGAAGGTAAAAGTCATTGTTGTTCATTTTATCCCCGCTTTCATTACTCTCCTTCTCTAAGTGATGTTGTCTCATTGATGAATTGAGGTAGGAGTCCATAATCCATATTGTCAGGAGGATGAAATATGTAAAAAATCGTGAGGAATAACCGCCAAAGCGGGAGCTCTCGAAAATGCGACCACTCATAGCGAAACCGGATGAGAGGAGTGGTGACACCGACAACACTGTGACACCCTGCTGCACGTTTATGTGTAATCGTCCCGCGTTGGAGACGAGAGGATGGCGGCAGCACTGCAATAAGCTGTAAGCTAACGTTAGCAGCCACCTTGTTAACCTGTATAGCCCGATTGTCCCGCCGGTGGGACATCTTGCAAGAAACAGCATCTCAGGACTTCTTAAAATGTACTAACAACCTATTAATGATGCTTACCCACTTAACGGGAAGAAACTCAGCTAACTGACGATATTAACCATTTTTAACGAAACACAAGTCGAACAGCTAACGGGGCTAACGCTACTTTAGCACATAACTGGCAAACGCGATATGAAAGCTGAGATTCCACAGATTCCCTTAAAATATATGTCTCATCACTCAAAACTCACTGAACTAGAAGAAGAAACGTAACCTTAAATACACAATTAAACATTCACAAACTAAGGATTTTCTAAATACATGTTTAACTCCATTACAGTTGCAGGACTCACCAGATCTCAAGTCTTCTGTTCTCTGTTGACGTCCCGATGCTCATATTTAACGTGTAGATGTAAAACTATCCCGATATTAGTCCATAAACTCATGAGCAGACATACAGACAGCTCTATAGCTCCGCAGGAGAGCCGCTCAAACTGACGTGGAAGTTTCAAATTGGATTGAAAGGCGCGGACAGTGCTCATTGGCAGGTTTTTTCGATGACGTTTATATCAACCAATCAGGAGTGTTGTGGACTCATTCCAATCCTGCTTGTCTTGTCTGCCGTTGTATGGCTGGATTCCATTTCAAGTGCCGTAGCTTTTTACATACATTTTACATTTTTTTTATTTGACACTTTTTTTTTTACAGTTAACTATTTTAGTATAGTACTATGAAAACTACTTTATTTACACAAAATCATTTTTGGGTATTTCTGCAATATATTACATTTTTTGTGAAGATGTATACATTTATTTAACATTTTAGAGATGTTTTATAATAAGATTTATTTTTATTCTACAACAGTACAGAATACAGTTATTTTTAATTTTTTTACATTTTGTTACATTAAATTTAAGGTTTTACTGCAACAAAAAAAAAAAGTTGCCTTCATTTTACATGCAGTAAAATTATGTGTATTTTATGTGTTTTTACATAGAATTCAATGTAATTTAACATTCAAGACAATTAAACAATGGAATTATCCTGTAAAAAAACGATAATTTCTCATCAAACCAATTTACAGAATAAAACCTTTATTTATTTTTGAATAAAAGTAATTTACTGTATTTTTATGGTATTTACATGTAATAAAGAAAAACAAGAAAGGTCTGTAAAATAATACAGTACATTTCTGTGAAAAAACTTTTTTTTTTTTACAGTGTATGCTTTGGTGCGGTTTGCGTTCACACCAGCAATGAACCGCTCCAGAGTTCGCAAGCAAGCGTTCCGAGACCACCTATTTTAGTGGACCAGAGTCCGGTTGTTTAGTTCACTTCAGAGGTCTCGGACTGCGTTCACACCGACCCAAATGCACCGCACCAAGCGGCTAAACGCACCAGGGTTAGATTCAACCGGACTATAAAAGGCTGGTGTGAATGCACCCTAAATGCCTCCAACATGGGCCGATGCGGTGCTTCCCTGAGCATCAAATACCGCCGCCGATGGGAATACATTGCAATCAATTGAAAGCTCTTTGCGTCCGTTTATGAAGCTGAAGGAGACTCGGCGCGTCACAACTGCACGCCACGGGACCCTGACCAAGCGTCGCTCCTGGACGTTCAGGGAGTGAGAGTGTGTTGCAGAGATGGCCAAAGGAGCTTCTTTCATTTAACCCTTCACATTCCAACATAAACTGAATAGGCAGATTGGAAGGATTTATTTCTTTGGAAATTTTATTTTAAATACAGTTAAATCAAGTTATTTTGGTAAAACTAATGAAAAATATAACTCAAAAAATATTTAAAAAAGATATAGGCTATTACAATTTTAGTTTTCATGTTTTTAAATATTATTTTGTAGAATATCTTAGGCCCTCAGAGAGGGCCTAGAGGGCCCTGACAGCTCGCCACTGGTTAGCTGCTTTTATCATGAAGATAGAAACAAAGCCATCTTACAACAGCCTGAGTCCCTCTTTTAGTTTGGAATGGATTCTGTTTGCTCTATCTGCATTATTACCAAATCTGAGGTCTGGAACCAGGCTTTAATTAAAGCAGAGTATTTTGAAATGGAGATACAGACTTTGACAAGAGAATACAGAAAAAAATGGGTTTGGGAAAATATAGAGAAATGTACAGAAAATGTGCATACATTATTACAACATTTATTAATAAATACATGTATTACAAAGTTAATGAGAATAAATAAATAAGTGAAAGGGAAAATAATATAAAGGTATAGTACATTAAACTGTAATATCAATTAAATCAACATTTAATTTAACCTTAGGCTATACATGATTTACATGGCAGTTGGGTGACTTCACGTCACCATCGCTAAGCTAAATCCTTCTTATTTTGGGGCGTGATGACGTTTAATCTCATTTAGCCACTTGTTAGCAACCGCTATTTTTAAGACAAGTAAAAGCTTCAGACGTTCACCGGTGGGTTATTTACTGACACATTGTATGCCTTAGAACATAATGTGAAAATCTCTTCAGCTTGACTTAACCACAGACCCTATTTTGGGAATGTTACCAAATAAAAACGGTTGACTTTGGGACAACTGAACCCTGAAATGCTGAAATCCTGAAATGCTGAAATGCTAACTAATTTTTGGATTTAGGACTTATTCCTGCAACACTGTATTAGGGCTGTGTCTTGTATGCACATAGGTGTGTACCATGTCTGTACATATTGGTGCATTAGTTGTGAGGCAGTACTTGTAGTCACAGGTGATTAATCGCCCCTGATTCCCCCCCACCCTCAGCTGACATCCAGCAGAAGGACCGGGAGATGCTGGAGCTCCTGCAGGAGAGGGTGACTCTGTTCTGTGAGCTAGCCGAGGTCACCAGCGGTCATGAGGGGCTGCAGACCCACAACACCCGCATCCTGTTCAGGGCGGACACCCCCCAAGCCCCCCGGGCAGAGAAGCACCTGCAGGACGCCACAACGGAGGGTAAGTCTCATGTCAACTTGGAACTGATGCTTTTGTAACAACGACCAGCTGGTGAGTTTGTCCGTGTTGAGTCATGTGTATGGAGCTAATTTCCTGCCATAACTCCACGAACAAACTAAACAAGTTTTACAAATGCCTTGTGATTCACTAACAAACACAGTGTGGTTAGCAAATACAAAACACCATCTACAAACTAATGCATTTAGTTTTGCAAATAAAAAACGTATCTATCAAACAAACACATTACATTTGTCTAATAAATCATGTTTCAGAGACAAATTCAGCATAGGTTTTACAAGTACAAAACTTTTTCTTCTCACGTCACAGAATATTACGTGACTTTTGGCAGTAATATTCCGCCGTGGTTGTGCTCAGGATGTCCACATACACACTCATGCTCCACGGCAGCAGGGGGCGCTACTGAGTCCATTTGGACGGCGGGAGGTTGAGCAGAGCTTGGAACAGCCCCTGCCAGTCTGATGACAGCGGTGTTTCTAGCGATCCGATACCAGACTAACAATAGGCCTATAGGGGCGTTCACACCAAGTTCTTTTCCCACAATAGTTCATGAGAACTCAGTTAATGAGAACTCTTGTAGTTCTGATGAACTAAAGCAGATCGCGTTCACACCGCAATGAGTCCCTGGGGGTGGATTAGTAGTCCAGCAGCAAGTCCTCAAAAAAGGCTTTCGTTTTCGAGATACCCCTACCCGAGGTAGAACAAATGACAACAATTATTTTTCTTATCTTTAGGGTCTCCTATTAATGAAATGAATTGTTGTCAAATTTTATTTTGGGGGAAAAAATGTTTTTTTGGTTGTTCTTTAGAACTACCCCAATCCCTGAAAAAGAGCCAAATTAGACCAGGCCGAATATGGGAAAGGTGACAAAAAAGCCCATAACTTGAGAATGACCACTATTTTCCTCTTCAGATTTGCTGAGGTATGAACCAGGTGGCTGTCCTACATCACCAAATAGTCAGACAATAATTTAACTAAAAAAATACTGAATTATAGTCCTGTAAACTGTGCAGAACTCCGTACAGCGAAGGCCAACAGAGAGGCACTGGCACTTTCCACTCTCTCCACACTTTGCATCTTTGCAATACAAGTGAGTAATATCTCTCACTTCTGTAGGTGCTGGGGGTTTTGTAAATAGCTCTGGTTGAATGGCCCCAGCTCTAACACTGCACCCCTGGCCCTCTACCGCCAGTCAGAAGAGGAGTGGAGAGATTCAGCAGATTGTTTGCACTGAACACCTGGCTTTCAACTGTCTGTACTGACCATTCTGTTCATTTTATTGACAATTTTAACTTTTTCTGGGACCGCAGACATCTTTTTAAGGCAAATGGAGTTTGTCTGAACAAGTCAGGAGTGAAACATATTCAACTGCCTGCGTCATCAATCTGTTCCCTCTGCCAAGGACAAGCGGCAAGAGGAATCAAAACAGGAGAAAGACACAACACATCGCGCAGAAAACCCTGAAGAAGTATCACTGCACCCGCCTGAGGAATGTTCTGATTATGGGAGACCTATGACACAAATGGAGGAGTCTCCACTGCCCGTCACCCTCCCTGTCAACGCCTTTGAGGATACTCTTCATTCATCCCCCAGCTCTCTCTACTCTCCGCTCACCCTCTCACCCTCGCCCACCCCCCTGGAGTTCAATGACCGCATGACGGCGACACGCAGGGTTGGCAGCATGTCCTTTACCCCCGCCCCTCAACGACGCCCACCAAAATCACCGAAGCAGAGATGCGCACCATCTCCCCCGGCTTCATCACCATGCCTACCACAATCATCAAAATCACAACAATACAAGGAAGATGGAAGCAGATTTCCAAACCCCCCTTCCTACAGTGTAGCCCTCACCCTGCCCTCCTATGATGAGAGGAGCAGGGTGGTGGGTCCTCCCTCCCCTTCAAAGCCTGATAGGGATGTGTGTGTACAAAACGCTGGCATGTCCTTTACCCCCGCTCCTCAACGCCCACCAAAATCACCGCAGAGACGCGCACCATCTCCCCCGTCTTCATCACCGCGCCTACGTCAACCACCTCCCCCCCCCTGGTCAACCACCTCCCCTCCCTTCAAGAAAGCATCTGCAGTCTCCGAAGCCTGATAAGGATGTGTGTGTACAAAACACAACAAATTCTTACTGATATGTGCTGGGTCCAGGCTCAAGGGCGTATGGCACTCTCAACTCTTTCCAGGACATGTCGGGGCCCTGCCTGCCAGTAGCTTTGCCGATATCTGTGTTGATAGGTAATAGATTAAGAGCGGTGAATCATAGAAACAGGAAGCGCTCAAACGTTTGTGTGAGTTTATCTAATTTAGCAGTGATTCCATGTCAGCCACAGCTTGTTACAAAAAACATGACTGATAGTGTGTTTAACAAACTTAAACTAGCTTTATTAAATGTCAGGTCTTTGGCAGGAAAAACATTTTTAATCAATGATTTTATCACTGAGCACAATCTCGATTTTATGTTTTTAACAGAAACTTGGATTGAACAAAATAACAGTGCAGCTGTTCTTATCGAATCAACCCCTCCCAACTTTAGTTTTATGAGTCAGGAAAGAATGCATAAGAAAGGGGGTGGAGTTGCTATTCTGTTCAATGATTCCATTCAATGCAGGAAGACATTGTATGGAAACTTTGATTATTTTGAATATGTGGCCCTTCAGCTGAAATGCTCCGCTCGAGCTCTGTTCCTAAATATCTATAGACCACCCAAATACTGTGCAAGCTTTTTTGATGACTGAACTGCTGTCTATAGTGTGTATTGACTTTGACCGTCTAGTCATTGTTGGTGATTTTAACATCCATGTTGACAAACCCCAGGACAGAGGGGCTAAAGAACTGTTTTGTGTTCTTGATAGCTATGGACTGACTCAGCATGTGACGGAGCCCACGCACAATAAGGGGCACACTCTGGACTTAATTATCTCAAAGGGTCTGAATATCTCTAAGGTTGTGGTAACTGATGTTGCACTCTCTGACCATTCCTGTGTTTTCTTTGAGAGCTCTATTTCTGTTCACAAAAATGTTCAAAAAGAGGTAACCACAAAGCGATATTTAACTGAAAACACTAGGGAAATGTTTACTCAGAACTTTTCTACCACACTTTCCCCTGCTAACATCTCAGTAAATGAGCTAGTAGATCATTTTAATTAAAAAATTAAAAATGTTATAGATGCCATTGCTCCAACTAAGGTAAAGGAGGTGTCTGGCAAGAAAATATCTCCATGGAGAAAGGCCATGACCGTGAAAACAGAAAAAAGAGAATGTCGAAAAGCTGAACGCAGGTGGCGAAAAACAAATCTCCAGGTTCACTTATCTATAAATCTATAAAGAGAGACTTGGCCTTTATAATTTGGAATTGAAAAACGCACGACAATCGTTCTTCTCTGACATCATTACCAAAAACAAAAACAACGCACGTGCCTTGTTTGCTACCGTCGACAGACTAACTAACCCCCCAGTGTCAGCAGCCTCTGAATTTCTATCCACCAGGGCATGCAATGATTTTGCCTTTTTCACTGACAAAATTCAGAACATCAGACAAGCAGTCAGTGCCTCTGCATCAGGAACAGCAAATGTGTTGTCTCTGTGTCCACTTAACATCAATTCAGACATCATGACACAATTCCATCAGATTAATGATAAAAACCTAGAGGACATTATACAACTTCTGAAATCCTCCTCCTGCTGCCTTGATATTATTCCAACAGGATTTTTCAAAGATGTTTTGCCTTGCATGGCCTCAGATCTACTTCATATAGTAAACAAATCTCTTCACTCAGGTATTTTTCCACAGGCCCTGAAAACTGCAGTCATTAAACCACTCTTAAAAAATAATAATCTAGATGCTTCAGTAATGAACAATTACAGGCCCATATCAAACCTCCCATTTCTAGGTAAAATCATTGAAAAAGTTGTTTTTCAACAGTTGAGTAATTTATTGCATTTAAATAACTGTTTCGATGTGTTCCAGTCAGGCTTTCGTCCAAACCACAGCACTGAGACTGCTCTTGTAAAGGTCTTTAATGACATCCACTTAAACACAGACAGTGGCAGAACTTCAGTGTTAGTATTATTAGATCTCAGTGCTGCGTTTGACACTGTTGACCACAGCATATTACTAGACCGACTGGAAAACTGGGTGGGACTTTCGGAAACAGTTCTAAATTGGTTTGAATCCTACTTAAAGGACAGAAACAACTTTGTTTCTATAGGTAAATACACATCTGAGTTGACAAATATGACATGTGGGGTACCTCAAGGGTCCATCTTGGGGCCTCTTCTCTTTAACATATACATGCTACCACTGGCTCAGATAATGAAAAACAACAAAATAAGTTACCATAGCTATGCAGATGACACACAAATTTACGTAACAATTTCACCAGGAGACTATGCTCCAATTCAAACACTGAGTAAGTGCATTGAACAAATCAATGACTGGATGTGTCAGAACTTTCTCCAATTAAACAAAGATAAAACTGAGGTAATGGTTTTTGGAGCCAAGTCAGAACGTATAAAAGTTAGCGCTGAGCTTCAGTGTGCAATGTTCAAAACAACAGATAAAGCCAGAAATCTAGGTGTAGTCATGGACTCTGACCTGAGTTTCAACAGTCACATTAAAACAGTTACTAAATCAGCCTACTATCACCTAAAGAACATATCTAGGATTAAAAGACTAATGTCACAGCAGGATTTGGAAAAACTTGTCCATGCTTTTATCTTCAGTAGACTCGACTACTGCAATGGTGTCTTCACAGGTCTCACTAAAAAATCTATTAGGAAGCTGCAGCTGATTCAGAACGCCGCTGCTCGAGTCCTCACTAACACTAAGAAAGTGGATCACATCACTCCTGTTCTGAAGTCTTTACACTGGCTTCCTGTGTGTCAAAGAATAGATTTCAAAATACTGCTGCTGGTTTATAAAGCACTGAATGGTTTAGGCCCAAAATACATTTCTGACCTCCTGCTAAATTATGAA